AAAAGATGCACTCTTCAACCCTGTAATGGTATTGTTTTTACATGCATAGAGTGGTAGTGCACTACAGTGAAAAGGATACAGAACTAGGAGTCAGGTATACTCCTGTGGGATTTCCAACACTGCCACATATTTGTTGTGTAACCTTCAGCAAGATAGTTCATCTTTTTGCAACTTATTTTCCTCATCTGAAAAATAGGAACTATAATAACTGTTGTGAGAATGGAAGGATATAATTAACCCATGTAGAGTATCTAATAAAAAGCAGGTCTTTAATAAAGGTTTTGGCCCACTTTTATTTATCACAGTGGTGTTATAAAATAGTGATAAACTAGGAAGTGTGTGGTTTTATACTTAGACATGAGATCGAATTCCAATTGTGCTATTTGGTTACCATGGGTGACTTCCACAGATCCAGGGGATCCAGTGCCCTTGCAGGTATTGCATGGCATACCCACACTTACATACATGCAGGCAAAACATTCACACACATGAAATAAAAATAAGCAAAAATATGCTTTTAAAAAGAAAAAGACTACATTATAGTGGCTGTAGGCCAATGTGGGGGGACTGAGGTTTATCTGCATTTGCAAGTGATGACATGACATTTGAAAACATGAAGAAGCATTATATTTTGGCATTTTAGTTTTGTTTGGCTGTTCTTTCTGTCTACACCTCCACCATTTTCATCTTCCTGCCCATATAGAAGCTTTCCAGAGTAGATATTGCTGCCATCCTCTTTCTGTGCAGTTTGCACACCTATGTTTGTTGAGCTGTACACTCATAGCATCACTGATGTGGACTACAATGCTTGTTCCAAGTTGTGTTTTGTCACTTATTAAATGGTAAGAGGCCAGATATGATGTCTTGTTTTTTTTTGTTCTTGTTGGTTTTTTTTGTTTTGTTTTTGGGTTTTTTTTTTTTTTTGGTTTTGTTTTTTTTTTTTTTAGGCTTATTCAAAGTTGAATGCTATCATTCATCTCTATGCCTCGGCAGATATTCCTCCATGTGATAGGAAACTTAATCTCCCACAGCAGTGCCACGCTGTTGCTCTTGCAGGATGCTTATCAGTTTATCATTAGATAGAGCCTGCTAAGGGCCATTTCATTTGGTACTGCTGAAAGAAATATCTGGCAGAATTCGTCTTTGTGGTAGGATTTGAATAATCCACAAAGGCTCCTGACTCACATATACTTCCCTCCTCCATGGTCATGGTGCCTGAAATGCATACAAGAACCATTTCACTTAAACTTTCTTTGGTATAAAGTAGTGTTACAAGGTGCATACTATACTCCAGAGGGATGCTAGTGAGTCATTATCAGCTATTAATACTTAGAGACAGAACTGCATTGGAATTCTGCTTCTGTTTCTTTCTAACTAGGGCTTTAAGCAATTGCTAATTCTGAAACTGTTTCCTCTTCTATAAAAATGGGGATAATAATAGATGGGCATGAGGACTTAATGAAATAAAGATGTAAGCACCTGGTAAACGTTTAGCGAATTGTAGTTGATTTTGAATAGCTGTTATTAGCCTTAAGAAGAACACACACTGAGGGGATATTCTTGGGATTAGTGATTTCAATTGTCAGGAATCAGGTGAGGTTTGGTAGAGGCATTACTGAGAGCAAAGGCCCTGTTGAAGAAGGATTTGGCCAAGGATACCATGGAAACACTGATGACCCAGAATCAGAAGAAAAGAGTGGAAAAGAGGGCAGGAGAGGATGTAGTGAGTATGATCACACTACATTGACATGAACTTTACGAACAAGAAAGGTGTGGTCCTACTCAGGGTGTATGTTGCTTTGTGAGGGAGTGTGCTGTGATGCTTTGTGAAGGCCTGAGCAGTGGCACTGCAAGTGCTGATACATAAATGGGTGGTAGCATTTCTAGTCAGCTACCAGACAACGATGATGCTCCTGATCAACAGACTTAACTCTTAGTAGCAAGCAACTGTTGGGCGAAAATGTCTTGCAGTGAGACAGGAGGTGGGGGTAGCCAGCAAGTTACGTGTAGCAGAAAAACGTTGATGCAATCATGATCTACAATCTGGTTCTTAGCTTTGTAAACTTTGAAATTTGACTGGTAGCATAACCAGAAACTGGTCTCTTGGGGACTAACTCACAGTTAACCAAATTCACAAGAGACCAATATATAAGCCAGAATGCCAATTGATTAATTTATAATGAGAAGTATAACTTCCAAATGGACCTGATACTTGTGTTTGCTGATGAGTGCATTATCTCCCTATAGGCGCCTTTACATGAGAATCTAAATGGTAACAAGAAGGTTGCTTGGTGAGGATGAACTCAGAGAAAGGGGATGCTTAATGGCTCATGTCATCAAGCTATGATAGTCTGATATCTCCATATTATAATTGGGCCAGACCTCCAGAAGAGTTCTGGTGATGTTAGCCTCCCCATTAGTCTCTGTATCACTAGTTTTGCCTTCATATGATCTGGATAATCTGTTTAAACCAAGACCTGATTTTATCATTCATTTGTTCTACTAGCTTCCATATTTTAAATTTGCTAATTAAAAAATGTATAAAGTATACAGAATAGTTGAAAAATAATTTAATGACATCTATATACCTTCCATCTAGACTTAGCAATAGCTATCATTTTGCCATATTTGCTCATGTGTATATGCATATATGATGTGTATTGACTCTACACATTTTAATATGCTTCTTTTTAAATATTTTATTTTTTATTTTACGTGCATGAGTGTTTTGTCTGCATGTATGTAAGTGCACCACATGCATGCAATGCCCACGGAGGTCAGAAAAGGACATCAGATTCCCGGAAGTGGAGTTACAGTCTGCTGTTGGCCACCATGTGGGTGCTGGGAATAAATCTAGATCCTCCAGAAGAGCAGCAAGTGTTCTTAGCTGCTGAGCCATCTGTCCAGCCCCTTAATACAGTTATTTAAACTCTTTACCTGTCAGTACAACCTTACTTGAATAGTTTCATTTTCCTTAGCTCACCTTTGGTAGCTTATATCCCGGCCATACATAAGTACAGAGTCTTAGTTTCCTGGTTGTCCTCTGCAATTCTTAAATACTGTCGTTTATGCATGGTTATCTTTGTTCTCTTTGCTTAGGCAATTCCTGTACTTCACTCACTCATAGCCTTAATTAGTCTTTATTGTTATTATCTTCCTGTCTCTCTGACTCTCCTGCTAAACCCTGACCTCACTGAGAGTGAGGATAGAATGTTGTCATTAAAACATTTATACCCCTGCCCCTCCAGTGCCTTGCATTTAGTTCCCAGTAATGAGTCAATGACCCACTACAGTTTTATCTGCTTACATTATAGGAGTCTCCGAAGCAACATGGCTAAAGGGAACCCCTCTCTCCTCTTTCCCACTGTACACATTTTAAACCCTCTTCTGGTACTCCCTGACTGAAAGCTCTCCAGTCTTCAGAACCAAAGGGCTCAGAGCAAAGTCCTACTCTTCCTTCTCTACCATCCCACAAACTCAATGTTGTTGATTCAGCCTCCAACATACATTCCCATTCTGTCCATTCCTTTTCATGCCTACTGTCTATCTATCCCAGGCGGTGGCTAGAATGAAAATGTCCCCCATTAGGGTCATAGTATTTGAATACTTGATCCTCAGTTGGTGGCTCTGTTTGGGGAGGTCATGGGACCTGTAAGAGGTATGGCCATGGTGGAAGAAGAATGTCACAGGGGGTCAGGCTTTGAGAGTTCATAGCCACCAACAGAAGATCAAGTATTCAAATACTGATTATCTTAAATGTTATTTTCTTGATTATTACTGTGACATAACAACCTTGTTATTTTAGAACTCTTGTGTCCTGGACCTGTTGAATAATAATGCTTAACATAATTTTTCCACTCTGCTAAGCACTGTCCTAAGTGGGTTATATGAATACATTTAACCATCTGAACAACTCTGAGGTAGTTACTACCATTATTCCCATTTTACAGTTAATGAGGATACTGAGGCATGGAGATGTTTTCAAGGTTAAAAACTATTCTTGTAAGCTAAGCATGGTAGCACATCTCAGCTACTGGAGGGTGGGGGTAAGAGGATTGCCCCAACTTGCAGGCAGGCCTCTTCTACATAGTGAAAAATAAATCATATTTCGACAGTGGCACGGGTGAGTTGCTCTGGTGGGTCAGCCTCATTCCAGCTGATGTCAGGGGAAGAAAGGTAATGCAGTTAAGGTTATGAATGGCACAGGGAATTTGCGCTTGCTTAAACCTGGTTTGTGGAAGGCAAACAAAAAAAGGGTTGGTTTTGAGATGTGTGAAGATGATAATTCTGTTGTGATGACCAAGATTACTTGAAACAGGCATCTGGTACACGATATTTAGCCCAGGAGAACTGTAGGAAAGAAATTCACATTGTTGGTATCAGAAAAGAGAAAGGTATCATTTGAGGCCACTAAAAAATGTAATTAAAGGGGGAAATGAGGGCATGCTTTGCTTGTCTTTTCTTTAGAGACTCTGCCAGCATCCAAACCCCAGCACCATCCACCTACTCACAACTCAGACCCTTTGGACCTGCCACTTTTGGAAATACTTTCCCATTCTCCTACCATAAGCCCAAAACTCCCCTCCAGGCAAAAGATAAGAGCGACGGAGCTATCCCAGCCTTTCAGAACGAACTGGAATCCGAATCCCAGCAGAAAGCTCACACTTTGGCACATCCCCCAGCTCCTCGCCTGCCTGTGCATTCTTCCTAAAAGGACGCAACACACCTGGCCACCCAGCCTCTGAGTCTCTCCCTAAATGCCTTCCCATCCTGTGACCCTTTTAAGAGGCGGATCCCGCAGTGTCCTTTCCTCTCTCGCAGCCACCTCTACCCCCAGTCGTCTGGGCGGAGCTTCGCGCGAGCGCCCGGGAGCCCGACGCGGCCGTGGCTGGCAGTCGCGAGCGGAGCAGGACTGGCACTTGCGGAGCTGCGTCTGCGGCAGCCTGGCCCTGGCCGCTGACGCTGCGTGCCCGCCGGCCGCCTGCCAGCTCTCTCCACCTGGCCGGCACCTGGTCTCAGTCGAGCGGCGGCTGGCACGCGCCATGGGGCCGGCCGGGGCCGGGGTCTGCTGCAGGGGCCGCTGCGGCGCTGCCCGGCTGCTGGCGTGGTGCTTCCTACTGGCTCTCAGCCCGCACGCCCCTGGCACGCGGGGGGCCGAAGCCGTGTGGACTGCGTACCTCAACGTGTCCTGGCGGGTTCCGCACACCGGAGTGAACCGTACGGTGTGGGAGTTGAGCGAGGAGGGCGTGTATGGCCAGGACTCCCCTCTGGAGCCGGTGGCCGGGGTCCTCGTACCGCCCGACGGGCCGGGGGCACTCAACGCCTGTAACCCGCAGACCAATTTCACCGTGCCCACGGTTTGGGGAAGCACCGTCCAAGTGTCTTGGTTGGCACTTATCCAACGTGGCGGAGGCTGCACCTTCGCGGACAAGATCCATCTGGCTTATGAGAGAGGGGCTTCTGGAGCCGTCATCTTTAACTTCCCAGGGACCCGCAATGAGGTCATCCCCATGTCTCACCCTGGTGAGTGCAGCTAGTCAATGGCACCCCTGCAGAGCTCTGCCTTGAGCACTTTAAATCTATTTCCCTCCTAACCTGTCTGTTCTCTTGCTCAGAAGGAAAACGGGTGCCCTTTTTGCCCCCACGGAGTGGAGTAGGGACCTCCTGAGATTCGCCAGGTGTGGGGGTTGGGTGCTTTTAAACATTCCTTCAGAATTTGTCTCTGGTGGAAAAGGGTAAGACGTAAGACAAACCAAACAGGGGTGCAGAGGCTCTCACTGTAGGGGCTTTTTGCGTCGTTTTTTCCTGGTGTTCCACGAGGGTGCCTTGCCTTGGATTAAGCGTGGGAGGGTGAACCTTGGCTTTTAAACTATAGGGGAGGACATCGCCTGGAAATTTACTCCTTACAGTATAAAAACAGATTTTTCTCCTCTCTCCACTTCTCTCTCCATGTTTTCTACGTATCAAGTATAAGGCTGTGTTACGGTACCCTGTTAACCTCGTTGTAATTTTCGTGGAAACTTTATTTAGCGTTTGGGTTCTCTGTCCAGTGGTCTTGAATCCCATGTATTGCCTCATATCAGAGTTCCTGTTTGCCTATGACAAATCTGATTTAGGTTATTGAGTTCCCAAGCAGGTGATTAATGTTACTGAAAAAGAAAGGTTTATTATGTGTGGCTAGAGCAAAGGCCTAGACTTTGTGAAAGTACAAGTTCTTAAATTTGTGGAGCTGGTATGGGTGACTAATTTACCCCTTTCAGCCATCCATCCAGAAACCTCCCATTTTGTAATTGGTGATCCTAGGCCCTGAAGGACGAAGGAAAAAAAGGAGGATAGGGGGAGGAAGAGACTTGTAATGTATCATGGTTGTTGAGAGCTAGACCTTAAAGGTAGACCTTGATTCGAAACTCTGCTCTAGTGCTCATGAGTCCTGTGACCTTGGACAACTTATGTGAACTCTAAGTCTTGGTATTCTCATCAGTCAGATGAGATAGAATAATAAGAAACAGCTTATCCACAGGTTTGCCTCTAGGGTAAAAATGAAATAAAGCCCTCAAGAGTCTAGGATAGTGCAACTAAAGGTTAGCTGATATGGATTAGCCTTGTAGGAGTCCCTGGAGAGAGGAATTTGCTTATTTAAGTGCTAGAGGATTTGTGTTTTGCTTACAGCAGTGTGACTGGCCCTGCCTACAGAGTTCTTGTATTGCCTGGATGGGTGGCATAATAGAAAGAGCTTTGAAGTAGAACTAGGAGAGAATTGAATTCCTTTAAGCCCCTTTACTCTGTCAGCTTTGCGACCTTGTTCAAGTTACATATCAAATGGTAGTATAGGTGTAGAGGGTAGGTACCAAGTCAGCAGAGCATGCAGATATGAAGCTGAGACAGGTGAACTACATGATCCCGATCTGTTTTAAAATGCTGTGCTTTTTAGATTTAGTATACTGATTAAGGGAGCAAACTGTACCTTTCCTAGTCGACAATGCAGTGAGTCAAATGAAATTACTTTTTAAAGGCTATAAAGATGAATAATGTGGCGTGGAAAAATGAGTATATAATATATGATATATATAATATATATAGCTAAGTATGAGGATTTGATTTCATCTTCTCCAAATGAGATTTATTTGCATGAAGGATTTGTAATTGAAAAATATTTTTAAATTAGAGAGTTCCTATTTAGGCTACTGTACTTCTGGTAGGGGTATGTATCAGGTAGCTTCAGGGGATAAAGTGAACTTTGGTTGAGCTCCCACTATGTGCTGGGCCTTCCACATAGACCTTATCCTTTATTGAGAGGCAATATGGTGTAGTAGGAAAAATGCAGATACTGTAATCAAAATTGGGGTTCAAAGTGTGTGTTTACCACACAATGGCTTTATGCCTTTGTACAGATTACCTAACTTTCCTGACTCTTAGATGGTTTCCCCATCTATAAAATGGAGATCATATTTATGTTGCAGTGATTTCAAAGGATAATATGAGCCACATAGCAGATGATAAACAGCCAGTAAATATTAAAAAAATGTTAGCTGTATAATACATTGACGGTAACAAGAGGCAAAAAGTGAATGCACAAATACATGATTTGAAGACATGGATGCCATGAGAATCTATTTAAGTCTATTGTATTTCTGGCTCCCATATAGGAATAAAGAAATCCAGGAATACCGATCATTTAATTACATTTGGAAAGTTATTTTGATACTTAAAAAACTTACTTCCCAAGGTAATGGCACAATAGATATTGCCATTATGCTAACTAGACAGGCTAGCAAATTTTCGAAGGCACAAAAATTACATTTCTTCCTTAAACTAGAAAAACTACTTTCCATGTAGAAGAGAGTTAAGTTACTTTATCCACATTTGTTACTGTTTCTTTGGAAAGTGCTATGCTGTTTGTTTTTCTCTCTCCAAATAAGTCTAGGGTTTCATTTTAAATATCTGATCTCTCTCTCTCTCTCTCTCTCTCTCTCTCTTTTCCTGAATCATAGGGGCAGGTAGGAAGGACTAAGGTTTAAGTTTTAATTGCTTGCTTGTACATCAAATGTGGGAAAAGCCATTGCTGTCTCCTTCATTTATAAAAAAAAAAACAACAAAAAACCCCCAAAAACTCTCTTTTACCCACTCTCACAAGGACCTGAATTTGAATTGTCTGTTCTTTGAGTTTATGCTGAATATCATCATTCTCCTGTGATCATAAAGATACATGGTTTCAAGTGATTGAAATATATGATTGACAACAGTTGCTTTTGTCTTTGTTCTGGATTTTTGTTTGTTTTTGAGGCAAGGAAGGTCTCACAGCACAGCCCAGGACTCATGCTACCTAATGAGTTCAGGCTGGCCTTGTAAACATGATCCTGCTTCAGCCAACAAAGTGCTGGGATTATTTCTGTCCACCACCATGCCTTGCAAAATAGTTGCTTTATTTTATTTTGTGTTGTTTAAGAGAAACTCCACCATGTGTGAGTGAGTGATTAGGAAAATGAACCTGCTTTTTAATTTATTCCAAAACTTCACGGAAAGTAGTAGTTGTAGCCTAACATCAACCCATGCAATTTATGTCTCTTTTTCAGTTTGATTGCAAAATAGTCAGAAAACCTTGCTACACATACAGAAATCATTAGAAATGATAGATGTATATTAATGGTGCCCTGGAATGTCTGAATTATACAAATTTCAAGCAAATTGATCCAGAAACCTGGAAGAAAATTATGTGGGAAATTTAGTTTCAAAGTTTAATTACTATTCATATTCACCATTTTAAATATGAAAATCAGATGATAAGCAGCCAAAACTTAGAGTAAGCACTAAAGCCATCTAAAATATGGATTTTCAGGATGTTGAGCATGCTCTCACTATTGCACAACTTACTGTTCTTTCTCCAAGCAGATGGGCCAGAGCCATGCCTGCTGTCTAAATGAGCACAGCCCACGGGTTGAAGTGATGTGTGTACTTGCTTGTACAATTTTCCTTGAGTCAATATGTACAGGCATGAATTTATTGAAAGACCCATGCAGAGCTACAACCGTCATAATCCATAACACACTGACACAAACTTGAAATATATGCCTAGAGGTGACAGGAGAAACACTATTCCCGAGGGCTTTATATAAAGAAAAATGAATGAACCAAACAGTATAAATCAATGAGTTGGTGATCTTTAATGGGAGACAATGGTATATAAAAGTTACTTGTATACTTGGTTGAATACAGTACATTAGTTAAGAGAATGGGCTCTGCCACTTAGTGTTTCTAAACTCTTAGATCAGTTCTTTTACTTCTCTCAATTTACTCTTCTGTAACATGGGCATAATAATAACAAACTTGCCTCATGAGGTTTCTAGGACTAAATGAGATAGTATATCTACTATATGTTGAGTACAGTGTCTCTTACATTAAGAAGCTACTATTATCTTTTTAACTCAGCAAGCTAGTTAAATGTATTTTACAAAATGAATATTGAGACCTAAGTGTGGGGGACCAAATTTGAAAATGAGAAGCCTATACCAAAGTTCATATTACTCAAAAACTCGGCTTAAACCTTCTATGCATAGAGTAGATGGGCTAGATTTTTTTTCACAAGGAAAACTCTTTTTGACCCTTTTAAGTTTGCCTTTTTTTTTTTTTTTTCCGAACAGCAGCTTCTCAGTCAAGCTACCAATTTTCTTTCCATTCAAAACAGGCTTTCAAATACAGTTTGTTTGCCTGTTTGAGGCAGGGTCTTACTGTGTTGCCCTGGCTGACCTGGAGCTCTCTAGATAAACCAGGGTGGTCTTGAACTCATGTAGATCCATCCTCCCAAGTACCAGGGTTAACAGCATGTGCCACCACATCTATCCCTGAAGAACTGTTTTATACTGATTTCCCAATCCTTTCTCAACTCTTTGTTCTTTTTTCTTGGATAATGACTTTCTTAGTAGAAGAAGAAGTTCATAGTTCATGAGAGGATTGGATGGAGACAATTTACCAATGTGAAACACCATTCTCAAATCCATTTTCAGATGTGCCCTTCATGATCTCTCTAGTACTATACTTGATTCTATTAGCTACTCTAAAATTCTCCCCAGCAGTCTCTTGCTTCCCTTGCTATTTTATTAGCCAGTTCATCTAGCACTTCTTTTCTTATGTACCCTGTGCCTCACAACTCCCCCTCTTATAAGCAGGTGCAGCATCCAGTTGATTTCATCCCGTTAAATATTATCACATAGGTCCCCTTCTCTCTTGTGTTAGTTAATACCCTGTTTTCAGTTCCTGTGTCTTTTCTTAGCGAATAACATTTAGCTTCCTGATTGGTCTCCTTGCCTCCAGTCATTTTCTTCCTGCTTGCAGTTCTTCTTCTACGTTGCTACCAGAGCATAGCTCTGATCACACAAATGCCCTTGCTTATAAATTCTGAAATACACTGCTCAGTGCAGCAGACGGCACTTCATATGTTGGTCCCAAACTTCTTTGAAAGCTTTGTATCCCTCCTCTCTCATACGGATCCCTAAATGTTCTCTATCCTTTCCCATTATCATTTGAGT